ATCTTGGGGAGGGAGACCTTCATCTGGCAATAGATTGAGCACGGCTCATGATGATGAGGTGGGCGCCCGCTGCAGGCACAGCGTCCTCTCTCGGAAGAGTAGGCCATTGTGAGTTGGTGTCACGGACCAAGTTTGCTGGCTTTTAAACAAAACGTCTCACCGTACTGCAAACACTTGGCAGGACCCTCCATAAAACGAATCTTGAGACTCAGTGAGGCTTTCTCGGGATAATATTGAAATGAAGAAACATAGCAACAGAGCTCCGAGCACCAGAGATCGGGATTCTAAGGGAGCTACCAGCCCCGGGCTCCCACAATTCTCACCTCCGTGGCACAGGTCACGTGTCCAGGGTTTTACTTGTGGAACCTTGTCAGTCAATCGCTCTACTCCAAAGAAGGTTCAATGCCCAAAGCGTCGGCTAATTCATAGAAGCGATCTGGATAGCGTGGCCCAGGATGGCCTCACTCCGTCTCGATCCTTGTTTTTAGGGAGGGTCCCGCTACATTTGGATGTTTAGCCACACGCATTGTTGGGCGTGTGGCTTCGTGCGTGTGTATAGAGAAAATCAGAGCATCGATAGCGCCACACAAATAGATTCAATAATCCAGAATGGTCAACGCGCCTTGCGTTCACGCGCATCCCCGGCTATTGTCACGCAAGCTATGACTGCCGCAGTGCGGCTGATACTGAGGTTGACGCGGGGTGGTGGACAATTGAGTTGACCGTGGCTGATCACCGAGTTCGCGCTGCTGCTACTGCTGCTGATGACCACCCCGATGACCGCATTCGCCCGTGCCTGCGAGCAAGGCCCCCCCCCACGCGCCGCCTGGCGATCTCCCTTCTCTCTCGGCGCTCTCCGCTCTCCCTTCTCCGTGCGCGGCTACGAATGCCACGGGGCCTGTGCGGCTCCGGGCGTCAGGGCGACATGAAAGCGGTGGCCGGGGTGGAAGAGTGGGCTGGGTGGGGGGGCCGCGGGGGAGGGTGGGGGGCGCGGCGCTTTGTAGTGGCGCGGGGTGAGGAGATGCATCCGGTCGCGTTTGATGCCCGGGCGCCCGCGATACATTCCGGAAACGAGAGCGCGCATGCGCAGACGAGTGCCTGACGGGGGACGGGAGGGGTGGGGGTGGTGTGTTGAGGATGTTGGGGAGGGGGTGGGGGAGGGGAGGAAGCGAGTTGCGTGGGGTGGGGGTTCGGTGGGGTGGGGGCCGGGGCTGGGAATGAAAGGGAGGCTTCGGGGGGAAGGGTGAGAGGCGAGGGGTGGCGTGGGGGGAGGGGTCCGGCGGTGAGAGGTGGGGGGGGAACGGGGGATGAGCGCGGTAGGGGAGCCTGGGGGGAGGGGCGTGGAGGAAAGGGGTGGTGGAGGGGGTTTGGTGGGGGTGGGGGGATTGTGGGGGCAGGGGGGGGGCAACAAACCCGGGCCAATGAGCGGCGACCGGATGCGATGTAGCTGGCGGATAACAAACGCGGGATCGGGTTACGGGCGCGCGTGACGTCAGCGCGGCACTCGCAGGGAGCGAGGGAAGAGGCGGAGTGCGAGTGGAGCGCGAGTCCCCGCGCCGCGCGTGCCCGTGCGAGTCCTCGCGGCGCGTACCACGACGCCCGGGCGTGTGCCGACCGCGCCAGAGCGTGGAGTTCGCGCGGCGGGCGATCTTATTCCGCATCGCACCCCGCGTGCGCCGCGGAGAACGGGGAGACTCGAATCTGCAAACCCCCCTCCCTCCTCCGTCCGCCGCGGAGCCGCGTTCATCAGCACCGCCGCCGCCGCCGCCGCTGCCTCGCTCGCGGAGTGGCGACTCTCGGCGCGGAGTCGAGGAGACCCCCCCCCCCCCCCATTTCCCCACGGCCGCGCATGGAGCGCAGCGCTTCTCCCGACCGCCGCCCGACGCCGCGCCCTGATGTCTAAGTGAGTCCCGCACAGCCTGGGGCGTCGGCGCGGGGGGCCCGCGGCGGGCCCGTGGGGGGCTCGTGAGGGGCACGTGGGGGGCACGTGGGGGGCTCGTGGGATTCGGACGGGGTTCTGCGGGGTCGTCGCGTCCTCGTTAGCGCTGCGCTCCCCCTTCTCAGTCTTTACCCCTCTCACATCCACCGGGTGTTCAGGGGTCCGGGTGTCGAGGGGTCCGGGTGTCGAGGGGTCCGGGTGTCGAGGGGTCCGGGTGTCGAGGGGTCCGGGTGTCGAGGGGTCCGGGTGTCGAGGGGTCCGGGTGTTCAGGGGTTCGAGTGTTCAGGGGTCCGGGTGTCGAGGGGTCCGGGTGTCGAGGGGTCCGGGTGTCGAGGGGTCCGGGTGTCGAGGGGTCCGGGTGTTCAGGGGTTGGGGTGTCGAGGGGTCCGGGTGTCGAGGGGTCCGGGTGTCGAGGGGTCCGGGTGTCGAGGGGTTCGGGTGTTCAGGGGTCCGGGTGTCGAGGGGTCCGGGTGTCGAGGGGTCCGGGTGTCGAGGGGTCCGGGTGTCGAGGGGTCCGGGTGTTCAGGGGTTGGGGTGTCGAGGGGTCCGGGTGTTCAGGGGTTCGGGTGTCGAGGGGTTGGGGTGTCGAGGGGTCCGGGTGTTCAGGGGTTGGGGTGTCGAGGGGTCCGGGTGTTCAGGGGTTGGGGTGTCGAGGGGTCCGGGTGTTCAGGGGTTGGGGTGTCGAGGGGTCCGGGTGTTCAGGGGTTCGGGTGTCGAGGGGTTGGGGTGTCGAGGGGTCCGGGTGTTCAGGGGTCCGGGTGTCGAGGGGTTGGGGTGTTCAGGGGTCCCAATCTTTAGGGGTCCCGATAATTGGGTGGCGCGATGTCAATTCCAATGAGCACGTTTGGCTACATTCAGTGCGAGATAAGTTCAACATCCGACCCTGACGCCTGCTGCTGCGTATTTGGGGGTGGTTTGCGTTTCTCTCTCCCCGTGGTCACGTGGATTTTTCACCGGGTCCTCCGGTTTTCCCCTCCACATTTAGCAACACGCGTTTGGAGTATTTGGCTGCTCTGCATTTCCACGTGATAGGCCACTGAGTTAAGCCGTCATTTGTGACCAGGTCGCTCAGTGGACCTTACCTGGTAAAATAAAGAGTTTATCGGGTTCCCGATGCGTATGGATGTCGAGGGGTCTCCGTCCAGCGCGTGGATTCGCTCGGCCGAGCCGCGAGGTTTGCTGGCCGACGTAATCCACCTGGAGGTGGAGTCCCACGCTGCTCGTGAGTTGCCGGGCGCCGTGCAGGGCGCGGGCTCGTTGGGCCACGAGCACGAGCCTCGGGCTGGTGCTGGGTGCAGTGTCCCTGGCTGGGTGTCGCGCAGATCGAGCGCCGTTCGTCTCTGCCGGGTGTCGCGCTCGGGGCATCATCGCTATTATTATCATCATCATCATATGCGTGCTGCTGGCTGCCTTGCTGGGCGCAAACCCCGCGCGCTCTCTCCCTGCCCGTCTCTCCCTGCTTCACGGGCCGCTGCGGCGCTGCAATGCCGTTCGTCGAGTTTCTCCGCTGCCGCTCAGCCTCCGCCTTTGTTGTGCTTGGTATGTCGGGTTTGCGGGGGGGCGGTGTTGGGTGGGTGGGTGGGAGAGGGTGGGGGGATGCAGGGGGTGGAGGAGGGAGGGAGTTGGGGGAACAGGAGTGGGGAGTGGGGCTCTCTGCACGCAAGCGAGGAGGATGCATTACGCGCCGCCGCCGCCTCGCCCCGTGGAGGAGGGAGTCGCGTTCCCGCGGCGCCATGCGCGGGCGAGCGCGGCGCGACTCTGCCACTTGAGCTGGAGAGTAGGGAGAGAGAGAGAGAGTGGAGAGAAGAGAGGGGGGGGAGAGTGGAGAGGAGAGCACACTCTCTCTGCCAGGGGCCCAGGGGAGGCGGACGAGTGCTGGAAGTGATGGTGGCTCTGCTCCGGTGCGCCGCTTCGCTGTTCTCTCGGTGTGTGTGTGCGCGCGTCTGTGTGGGTCGCTCTGGGTGGGTGATGAACTTCGTTCGCAGTCTCGTGCAGCGGTCAGCGCGCGCTGCTCTACGAACTCTGCGACCCGGGTTCAATTCCCACTCACGGTCGACACCAGTGACGATTATCTGAATCCGGCCTGGGCCTCGCATAGGTCGACTCGGCCTCAAATGAGTACCTGGTGCGGTGTGTAAACATCGCCACTAGGGAGACGAAGGCGACCGGGCGGAGTTCTGGCCACCCACCCCCTTGTGTGCTGTGCCGGCCTTCACAGGTGCTCGCTAACAGCACTCGCCCCAACAGTCTGTTAAGGCTACACTGGGGGTTTTTGTGAGTGTGGGGGAGGCGCTCGGTGGTGCAGTGATTAGCACACAACCCGAGTTCGATCATTGTCGAGGTTGGCTAGGGCTTTGATTATCCGGTGCAAGTTTGTAAAGGTGATCAGCGTGGGCCAGGTACCCGGGTGTGGTGGTGTTGGCATTGCTCACGGCACAATTTGCAGCAGTTTGCATGGGCCACGATTACCCAGGCAAGCCTCGCCGAGTCTCGAGACGCATTTTCAGGAGGGTCCTGCCAGGTTCTCATGGTCAGGATCGCTGAGAGTTTCCCGGTTGAGCAAACTGCGTAATTTTTTCAACTTTGGTGAATTTTAGCGGGTACCCAATGGCCGACTCTCTCCTCCCAACGGTGTCACGGGATCTCTAAACGCGCACAGCACCGAGCGTGCTCTCGGTCGACGCACAGCCGCAGTATCTGATCGGTGTGCTATGAAGAAAGATCATTAGCCAAGCCGTCGGCCGATTATATTCGCCTTTAATGCGGCACACCAAAGTGCTAATGGCGGACGTGTTAAGTTGTTTTATTCGTGTTTGAGTACGACTGCCTTTCTGATTAATGTTCAGTGTTAACCAGGGCGGCCCGCCAGTCTCGAACCGCGAAACCTCTGCAAACAAGCAGCGATTACACCGCCCCCCCTCCCGCCGTTGGGGCGAGTGCTGTTAGCTAGCTGCCATGTGGCGCGGGAGAGCGTTTTGTGAATGAGGTTTGTGAGCGTGGTGTGTGCCCCGATGATGACGCCATCTGCCTCCCCCACTACCCCCGTGTTGTCCCCCCGCAGGTATTTGGATGCCTTAACCGCACATGGATTCCCGCGTTTGGCGTCAGAGCGACGGGGGCGGCGGCACCGGCGGGGGCCGCACGATCGTGCGCCACCCGCGCCTCCTCCTGCAGCAACAGCCGCCCGATGAGTCGCTCGCCGCGTCGCCGCACTCGCTCGTCCTCTCGCTCGACCAGATCAAGGCCATCCGTGCCAACAACGACTACTCGGAGCCGCCCACCGTCGTGCGCTCCAACAAGCCCCCCCATTGGGGGGGCGGCGCCGTCTCCTCCTCCTCCTCGCCGCCGCAGCAGCACAAGGAGCGCGAGCGGCCGCCGAGCGGCGAGACGCCGCGGGGCGCCGCTCCGCACAAGGCCGCGCCGCCGTCCCGCGGCGGCGGCGCCGCCCAGCGGCCGCCCCCCGTGCCCAGCCGCTCGGCCAGCGGCGGCAGCACCGCGTCGCGGACCAGCGCGGGCAGCGCCGGCTCGGAGCGGCGTCTGCTGGGGGGCGGAGCGCAGCACCGGCAGGGGCCCTGGGAGGGAATCGTCGTCCGCGGCCAGCCGCGCGCCGCGGCGCCGGCCCACGGGACGACCGAGCCGAAACGGGAGCAGCAGCGCCGGCACCGCCACGACGGGCACCGGCACGGCGAGGACGGGGGCGACCGGAAGTGCGAGGCGGGCGAGGGGTGCGGCGGCGGCAAGGAGCCGTGCCCCGAGCGGGGCCAGCACGCGTGCATCTGCGAGCGGTGCGGGCGCTGCAAGTGCGGCGAGTGCGTGGCTCCGCGCGCGCTGCCCGCGTGCTGGCTGTGCGAGAAGCGCTGCCTGTGCTCGGCGGACGCGCTGCTCGAGTCGTGCACGTGCCTGTGCTGCGTCAAGGCGCTCTTCTACCACTGCTCGGACTACGGCGACGGAGACTCGAGCGACTCGTGGGCCGACAAGCCGTGCGCCGGCTGCAGCCAGTCGCGCTGCGGCCTGCGCTGGGCCAGCATGGCGGCGCTCTCGCTGTGCCTGCCGTGCCTGCTGTGCTACCCGCCGGCGCGTGGGGCCCTCAAGCTGTGCCGCGCGGGGTACGACCGCCTCACGCGGCCCGGCTGCCGCTGCGAGAGCAGCAACTCGGTGCGCTGCAAGCCGCCGGAGGTGCCCCCCCGCAAGCCCATCTGACCGCCCTCCCCCTCGCAAACTCTCGCCCACACGACGGTGACCGCCGCCGCCGCCTCCTCACCTTCCTCCCTTCCCGCGCCGCTCCGGGATGTACGAGCCCTCGCGTGTCGGCGGCGACGACGGCGGCGGCGACTATAATATTAATAACAAATATTAATAATAATATTAATAACGTTGGTGATGATGATATAACCACTGGCCCCCATGTGGGCAAGACGGGGGAAACACGTGTGCCCCCGGTGACTGGCGCCAAAAGTGGACCTGGGAACCCCCAGCGTGGGAATGTGGAGTTGGGGTCGGACGTGGTGAATCCTCCACGCCGCGGCTCTCGGAGACCGCGTGACCGAACCTGGCGTTCGCGCCGAACCTGGATGAGCGGAACGTGAGATGGAATCGGGACCCAGGGAACCAACTGTGGAAGAGAAGCTGGATTGGATACAAAACGAACCTGGTGGTGCCCTGGACCTGGGGACCCCGTGGGGTTTGGCACCGGGACCAGGCGATGATGCTTAACGCCCACCCCCCCACTGCCCCCTAACCCCCCCCGGGGAGGGGGTGGAAGAAGGGGGCTGGCTCCGAACGGCGATCGAGTGTAACCTGTGGCACAAATTAACCTTCCCCTCTTTATGTACAAATAACAAATTATTGTCTATCTATTTTTGTACATAGCTATAATATTAATGTAAAGATCAAGATATCCCATGAATGTTTAAAACAAAAAAAGTATAGCTCGCTACTTTCCAATGCCCGTGCATCCTGTGGAATGTGAGCCAGGACCACAGCGGCCTCCCCAACGAGGCCGCTGCGGCCCTGGCGGCCGGATTCTGTTATTATTATTATTATCCTGTGGCTTCAGCGTACGGCATTCACAATGTAAAGTTATTATTATAGAGCTCCGTATTATTTTCTAATTCTCTCTCCCTCTCTGTGTTAAACCCTCCCCACCGCCCCCACCCCACTTTTTTTTGTCTAGTGTAAAGAAATATTTATTACTTGAAGTTAAATATTTTATAATATTTATTGGAAAGAGGAAACCATCCCGCGCGAGTGGCCTCGCCGCGTAAGCCGGCTGTGACTGAAACAGAAAATATATGAATGAAGTGACGAGCGAGTGCGACTCTCATCTCTGGGTTAGGGGGGCCAGGGGTGGGGGGCCTGTAGGGTGAGGGGGCCTGTGGGGTGGGGGGGGCATGAAGTCACGTACCAACGACTCCCCCCCCACCCCCATCCCATCCGGTGGGGGATAACGCCGTTTGTAAAGAGCTTCTTAGCTCTGTGGGTTTTACCCAAAATAAGCGGACTGACGAGGCACCGACCAGACTCGGTATCAGACCCGTATCGCACCTGTCCAGGTAGGCGCCAGGCCTGGTGTCAAACTGGTATGCAACTGGTATCGCTGGGTACGAAGAAGTGACGTAGCCCGTCGGTAGCACATTAGAGGTTCGTGCTTGTAAATCCGTCAGGCCGCCCTGGTAAATACCTGCAGTTTGTACTCGCCGTAAAAATTATTCCGCTCCACGGTGGGTGCCCAGCCCACGTGCCACGTTGGAGAAACAAGTGGCGGGCCGCATTTGCGCGCCGGCCTCGTCACGATCCAAACTCTGAACAAAGTGCCGAGAGTTTCTGAAGTTTTGGCAACGCGACTATCGCCACGCTCGACCACGAAACGCGCAGGGGCCCCCATCGTGAGCTACCGCACATGCAGCATTGGTCCTTTACACCGCCACGAGGCTGCGAGTACGGCTACGAATTTGTTGAATCTATCTGTGCGGCGCCGTCGGCGCTGTCCCCTCGTGTACACGCGGTGTAGGCTGGGTGTGTGCTCCGATTAACCACGAAGAGTGAAAAATAGTGGAGCAGCCAATCTCAAGCCCCCACCATACCCCCCCCCCCCACCTCGTTCCTATACATGGTCACGCCTTGTCCAATCACAGAGCTACCATCATATGTAATGGCACACACGGACGTTCATCGCGTGTGCGACAGCGCTCAGCCTTGTCCAGCCCACCAGCTCGCAAGAACTGAACGTGCGTTGTCGTTTAGAATCACTGACTGCTCAAAGGCTGAGAAATTGTGGCCGTCCCAACAGAGGCAGCAGTGAAACCAGGAGGAAACTGTCGACCGGTTTCACCATTATTAGAACTCATCGGTACAGTGGGGTCATCAATATGCACTGCTGCCTGTTGGGATGGCCACATTTTCTCAACTCTTGAGCAATCCGTGGTGCTCAACGACAAGGCTATGTGTTCAGTTATTGTGAGCTGGTTGTCTGGATAAGGCTGAGAGCTGTGAGTGGTATCAAATCTGATCCCATCTGCATGAGTTTTCATTATTCTAATGAGATGTCTCGTCATGTGCAGATTTGAACACTGTAGTTACACTCCCCCCGTTAGCCACAAAACCACTTCTGATTAACTGCAGCATTGTTTAACAGTGCGGCATAGGGAGTGGAGAGAAGGGACCACCCTGAGCAATAGCCCCTCGCATCTGCCCCCCGCGGTTCACTGCTGTGCGGCAGCTGTCACGACCCCCCCCCCCCCCCCCACCGTACTGACTCTTGGCGCTGCAAAATCAAAGATCCGTTTCGCCATCCAAAGCAGAACGCGTTTAGTCCAGCGGCCTCACGGTTTATTCAGACCCAGAGTCCTCTTCCAAGCAGCGGCTGTTGAGGCAACTAAACCCTGGGCCGGTTTCGACTTCACTGCGTCTCACCAGCAGGGCGTGTCCTGTTCGTAAAGACGCCGCCGGCTGCTGCCCTGCGCTACGGACAAAAGGAATGCCCCTCGTGGAGTAATGGCAGCGATGGCTCGAATGTTCAGACGTTTATTTCCGTAGCGAGGTGAGTTGGGGGGTCGTGCGGTGAGGGGCACCCCCCACACAGCCCCCGCCACGAAGTAGGATCGTACCCGTGAGTTACAGGTAAGTTTGTCTTCCCTCTTGTTCGAACGATGATGCTGCTGCTGCAGCTGCTGCTGCAGCTGATGATGATCCAACTCGCGACGTGGCCAGGCCAAGGATCCGCGCGAACCGCGCGAGTTCCAAACCTCGCCACAAACACCGCCGGCCTCGCGCTGTCCGCGGCAGTGGCTGGGGAACCGGGCCTCGTGTTCCCCAACGCCTGGCGCGGGTTAGAGACAGGGCCCCGAGTTAGGGCTAAGGGCTCAGAGTTATGGGGCAGGGTCAAGAGTTAGAGACCAGGGCCCAGAGTTCGGGGGCAGGGACCAGAGTTCGGGGGCAGGGACCAGAGTTCGGGGGCAGAGCGCAGAGTTAGACTCACGGGGGCAATAAAAACAGAAGTCGCGCTGAATTTGGAGCGCAACGTGCGGAGGGGCAGCAGGAGCAGGTCAGGAGCTGGGGGTGGGCAGGGGGTGGGGGTGGGCAGGGGGTGGGGGTGGGCAGGGGGTGGGGGTGGGCAGGGGGTGGGCAGGGGGTGGGGGTGGGCAGGGGGTGGGGGTGGGCAGGGGGTGGGGGTGGGCAGGGGGTGGGGGTGGGCAGGGGGTGGCGGTGGGCAGGGGGTGGGGGTGGGCAGGGGGTGGGGGTGGGCAGGGGGTGGGGGTGGGCAGGGGGTGGGCAGGGGGTGGGGGTGGGCAGGGGGTGGGGGTGGGGGTGGGCAGGGGGTGGGCAGGGGGTAGGCAGGGGGTGGGGGTGGGCAGGGGGTGGGCAGGGGGTGGGCAGGGGGTGGGGTCAGCCGAGAATTGGGCCGTTCAGGTTGTGCTCGCGGTGTTGACACGCGACGCGCGCTGCGGTCGCATCGCGCCCGGTTCAAGGTTCAAGGTTCCCCTCCCCGCTGCCCCCCCCCCCGCGTCTCCATAGCGACGCGCGCGGCCGCAAGTATTGCGCTTTAATAGCGCTATTCCGCGCAGGACATAACATCCGCAGAGGAGCCCTCGCTATTATGAAAACACGCGGATACATATCAGAACAATGGCCGCGAACTCCAACGAAAACATCATCAGAATGTTTATAGAATGTGTTTCGGGGCGGGGGGGGGGCAGCGAGTGTGGGCGCAACGAAGAGGTGGGAGGGGGCGGGGGGGGAGCCGTCTCCATCATAAAAGGAGCTCGAGTAGCGGAGCACAAATGGAAACGCCCCCCCCCACTCTTACCCAGCGCTCGCTCTCCTCGCCCCCCCCACCGTCCCCCTCGTCCCCCCGGGCCATTGACTTTGCTCAGCGAGGCAGAGAGCGCGGCGCGCAGGAAGGAAGGAAACGGCGCTTTCTGCCGCAGGCTCCATTGTCTCCGCGCCGCGCTCGCCCGGGCAGCCGCGCGCCGACCCCCCCCCACTTCTCCACGCGGCTGCCGCCCCCCCCCACTCCCCCCTCCCCCAACTCCCCCCTCCCCCAACTCCCCCACTCCCCCCTCCCCCAACTCCCCCCTCCCCCAACTCCCCCACTCCCCCCACTCCCCCAACTCCCCCCACTCCCCCCTCCCCCAACTCCCCCACTCCCCCCACTCCCCCAACTCCCCCCACTCCCCCCTCCCCCAACTCCCCCCTCCCCCAACGCGCGCGAGAGCGCGGAGCTCCGCGGCTCTCGACTGGCCGCGCTCCCCCCCTCCTCCTCCCCCCTCCTCCTCCTCCCCCTCCCGGAGCCGTAATTACTGTAATGGGTTCCATGCTGCAGCCAAACAATTACACGTGCGCGCCGGGGGGGGGGGGGTGGCGGAGGGGGGCAGAGGATGCGGTTTAAACGACAGGCATTAGTGGTCCCCAAACTCATCCCCCACACACCACCCCCCCACTCGCTGGGTAACTGCGAGCAAGAGTTGCGTGACAACTGTGTGTGTGTCGGGGTGTGTGTGTGTCGGGGTGTGTGTGTGTGTCGGGGTGTGTGTGTGTGTCGGGGTGTGTGTGTTTCGGGATGTGTGCGTGTGTGTCGGGGTGTGTGTGTATGTGTGTCGGGGGGTTTGTGTGTGTGTCGGGGTGTGTGTGTGTGTGTGTGTGTCGGGATGTGTGCGTGTGTGTTGGGGTGTGTGTGTATGTGTGTCGGGGTGTGTGTGTGTCGGGGTGTGTGTGTGTGTCGGGGTGTGTGTGTGTGTGTCGGGGTGTGTGTGTGTCGGGGTGTGTGTGTGTGTCGGGGTGTGTGTGTTTCGGGATGTGTTCGTGTGTGTCGGGGTGTGTGTGTATGTGTGTCGGGGTGTGTGTGTGTGTGTGTGTCGGGGGGTTTGTGTGTGTGTCGGGGTGTGTGTGTGTGTGTGTCGGGATGTGTGCGTGTGTGTTGGGGTGTGTGTGTATGTGTGTCGGGGTGTGTGTGTGTCGGGGTGTGTGTGTGTGTCGGGGTGTGTGTGTGTGTGTGTGTCGGGATGTGTGCGTGTGTGTCGGGGTGTGTGTGTATGTGTGTCGGGGTGTGTGTGTGTCGGGGGGTGTGTGTGTGTGTGTCGGGGTGTGTGTGCGTGTGTGTCGGGGTGTGTGTGTATGTGTGTCGGGGTGTGTGTGTGTCGGGGTGTGTGTGTGTGTCGGGGGGTGTGTGTGTGTGTGTCGGGGTGTGTGTCATCCGCCTCCACACGAAACAAACAACTCCTCCATGTGATTCATGGCCAAACATCCAAATGCAGTGGCAGGAGCCTCCTGCAAATGGGCCTTGAGATTGTGCTGGGTAAAGAACGTGCAGGTGTCATTACTGTTGACGCTATACATACACGCGCGCACGGAGCTGGTGTCGATCCTCTGCCGGATGAGGGCCTCCCCCAAGCCGCATGGGCCACGTGGGGTTATTTGACCATACTTCACCGCGCTGGTCAATGCGGGTTTATGAAGGCGGGGGAATAGAGGCACAATACAGCAAAGAAGCACTGGACAAATATGTACACATTTAAATATTGTTACTATCATTATTAAATAGTGTTACTATCATTATTAAATAGTGTTACTATCATTATTAAATAGTGTTACTATCATTATTAAATAGTGTTACTATCTCGATTTAAAGCTTTCGTGACTGCAGGGATTCATCTTCTTGGTTCTTTCGGTAAAGTCACGTAGAAGGGAAATAATAAAATAATAAAAATAAAACATGATAAAATACAATTCTCACGACGTTTCGGCCACAACGCAAGCAGCCGTCCTCAGGTGAAGAACAGGTCTGTGTCTTCCCGACAGACCTGTTC